AGTAGTAAGGTATCCTGGAGAGAGGGTCCCAACAGGGAAGGGGACCCCCCCAGGGTTGCGAAGGGGCACCATATGGGCAGCTCCTGGGTGATAGTGGGAGTAGCTTAGGAGTCTTTGGGGGTCTCCCTCTCTTTTTTCTTTCCCCCCACCTCCTTTCCTGTAGTGGTACCTTGGGAATGGGGCCCCTGCCCTGGAGGGCACCCAGGTAGTCTAAGGATTGCTGCTTATATTTGTAGACTGTGCTGGAAGGCCCCACTTCTGCGTAGTTACTGGTCCCAAGCCTGAAGGTATAGAGTGTTGAGCATATGCCTAAGCACCTAGACTTATAAAAAGCCAGTAGTTATAAACATGGGACTAGGCTACCATCTCAGTAAAGAAAGGAATGGAAGATTCTACTTTGTCAACCTTGGTATAGTAAGGTTGAGAGTACATGTTGTATGGGTGACTGAAAAAGGGATGGTTTAGGTGGCCTGGTTTTCCTGTTTTGAGATACAGCTGTTTGTTTCAATAACAAATATATCCCTAAAGAAAGAGACTTAAATGGTGATACTGGTGGGATCTTCTCTAATTCATTTGCTCGTAAGTTGGTCTAACAGTTGCAAGAGAGGAGTAAATGGATATAGGGGCAGGCTCCAATTCTGTATTTAGGGAGAAACTCTTTCAAATTTTATATGAAGATGCTACAGAATTAGCATCAGAAAACTCTATAATCTATGGAACTTGCTGTGAAATGTAGGTCCAATTATTTTGCTGTGCAATATAACTTGTTTTAAATATAGCAAAATACTACTGCATGGCGCGCATGCCACAAGTGGCATGAGCAGCGTCTGTGTGGCACGTAGCAGAGTGGGGAGGGAGTAGGGAACACAGGGATGAGTAGGCAAGGAGCAAAACGAACAACAAATCAGACAGGGGAAGGGGATTGGAGTGGTACTTGGGCAGGGTGTGGGGTTTACCTTGTGGCACACTTGCCTAAAAAGTTTGTGCTCTGGAATGTGTCTTGTTTTTCCATTATTTCATGCCTGCTTAATATTTCTGATGGTTCTCACTGTCTTACACTGCATGTATCTCAACTTCCCTTTGGTTGGTATTGGATCTTCTAAGGGATCAAGTTCTTTAGGACTCAGTCTGGGTTTGAGTTATGCAGAGGCTGATCCCAGTATGGATTCAAGGTCTGACTCTTGCTTTCATTAAAGGCTGTCAAAACTCACAAATTTACCAAGCTGTAGCTGATTTTTTTTTTTTTTGGCGTTATCCTCATCTAGGAGCATGGACAAATGCAACATCTAGTACTTTAAACAACCTTAAAGCACTATCAAAATTGAGTAGACATATGATGTACAGTGCTACAGGACTACAACTATATAAAAATGACCTAGGGTGAAACTCTGAAGTGCTCTGTAGTGAAGCACTACAAATTAGAACCCTTTGAAAGAAAAAAGATGGAACTTCATGTCTGTCCAAGCCTTTAGTGTTGCTGGCTCCCTCAAACAATAGAATTTTAGCTTGGAGCAGAAGCAGCCGGGGGGGCGGGGGTGATGTCAGAAACTCCTCCAGGTCTCTTGGAATTTTAGACGTGCTTAGGCCAGTCACAATGATTGGCTGCTTGCTTTCAGGTAGGGTATGGAGCCACATCATCCAGCCTATGAGTCTCCTTATGAGTCCAAAAATCTGGCAGTGGGGAAGCAGTGGCAGCTGCCACTTTCCTGTTGCCAAATTTCCAGACCCCTAGGGAGCTCTGCAAACCAGATGGCATGGCCCTGTGGGCAACTAGGGCTGACCTGGGTGGCTCAAGATGGGATGGAGCTCCAGTAATTGGGGTAGTATGGAGCTGACCTGGGAGGCATGGGGCAACTGCTGATTACAGTGGTGCAGGGCCAATCCAGGCAGCTCAGCATCAACTGGGGCAGATCAGGGCCACTTGTCCAGTCCACAGGACCCAAGGTTGAGTACCACTGATGTAGGATGTTGTCAGAAGGTATTCAAAGGTAACACTGTGTTTTTGGTTTGTTCTAACAAAAAGAAAAAACACTTTTGCTTATTTTGTCTCTAGAAGTTAGCAACATTATTTTGGACAAAGATTTCTTAGGGTGATACCTTTTATTGGACTAACTGCACAGTTGGGATGGGATTAGACAAGCTTTTGAATGCAAGACATGGGCAAATAATATTGCAAAAATGAGTGACCTTATATTTTAGTTGTGTTATACGTTGCGTCATAGTTCCTTTAAATAAGTAAAATGCTGTTGAAGTACCAAAAGCTATATCTAGTAAGGCTTTCAAAGGAAATAGTAACTATATTTATCTAAAAGTACTTCTTTCCATTATTTTTGACATTTTCTCATTGATTTCTCAGATGACAAGAGAAAACACCAACTCTTCAGACCATGGAAGACCAGATGATGATGGATATCCATAGCATTAGTATCTATAGTATAGTGGCACTGAGTTTTCTACTGTAGGATTTACAGGTGCAATGTGTTCTTATAGCCTTTTAAATCAAGCTGAGGGATTTCCGCAGTATATGTGAATCTAAATTGTGCCATTTTAATGGATCCCTTAAAACACTGCACTCCCAAGAAATGATTTGTGTTAACAGTAAGTACCTAGTAGGGGTGTAAATACCAATTAATTAAATACCTGTTTAATCTCCCCTAATGTTATTGGTTAAATGTTTAGCCAATAAACATGTATCTACCAGGGACTGACCCCCGCCTGTACTCACTCATTCTCCAGGTGGCAGCAGCAAGCTGGGAAAGTACTTTGCCCGCTACTGGCGCCCGTGGCTTTATGTGGCTGCGGCAAGGCTCGCTGCTGCTGCCTGCAGTCAGCCCCAGTTCCTGGACAGCCACACACACAGCAGGCTGGGAAAGCCCCTTGCCTGCCGCTACTGCCAGTGCATGGCTGCCTGGGGCGGGAAGCAGCTGCACTCAGGTATACTGTGCTCCGGTCTGGCTCATTGCTGGCAGAAGGTTTACGTGTACCTTGGGGCTGGTGGGGAAGGGGCTGGGTCTATGCTGCCACAAGGACCAGGCCCGTCCCAGATCCCCTGTTGCCTACCCGCCGTATTAGGTACTACTGCCCCTGTTTCCTCGTCCTCCTTGCTCCTCCCCTCTCCCCTCTCAGCTAAATAATAACTGATAAGCTATTACCAGTCATTGATATGTGAACGGTTAAATGTTTAAACATTTAACTCTTCACATCCCTAGTACCTAGAGAGATGAACAGAAATGAGGACTCTGCATTTGGTATACAAGTATAACAAATAAAAGTCCCTGCTCTGAATAACTTCCAGTGGGAAGTTGGAGGGCCTGCTGTTAAAGTACATGCTTCATTACTATGAGTCAGAGACAGAGGGCTGGAAGGGATCTCAGGAAGTCATTTATTCCAACTCCTTGCTTAAGGCAAGGTCAAAGCCATTGTGGACAAATGTTTGCCTAGTCCATCTTTAATTTTGGGAACAAGCCGCACCCCTAACTACCAGCCCCACTGCCCAAAACATCAAAACCACCCTTTACCCTGCGGCAGGCAAACCAGGGGCCACGGGCACCGTTAAAATACACTCAAGAAATCCAGAATATGCTGAAGAATGGTCTCATTGACTGCAACTGCCTGAACCCAAACATCATATATGTTCTGTAGGCAAGTGCTTGCCAATATTGGGCCCTAAATCACTCTGCTGGATAAGCTAGGAACTAAGGACAAGACGGTGAATTTGGAGCATTGCTGCAGCACTTTCATAGATTCGTACACTGTAAGGGACCTCAAAAGATCATTGGGTCCAGACCCCTGCACCAAGCAGGAAAGATAACTGGGGTCAGGTGACCCCAGCAAGGTGAGCATCCAGTCGCCTTTTGAAGATTTCCAGGGTAGGTGATCGCACCACCTCTGGAGGGAGCTTATTCCACAGCCTGGACACCCTGACTGTGAAGAAGTTTTTCCTAATGTTGAGCCTGAAATGGTCTTCCAAGAGTTTGTGGCCATTACTCCTGGTTTTCCCCTTGGGTGCCCTGGTGAACAGTTGCTCACTGAGCCCTTGATGTACTCCCTTAGTGTAGTGGTAAGCTGCTACCAGGTCCCCTCTCAGCCTTCTTTTCCTCAGGCTGAAGAGTCCCAGATCCCTCAGCCTTTCCTCCTATGGCTTGTCCTGGAAGACTTTG